AAAAATAGCCTTAACAGCCGGCCAGCAGTAGCAACTTGCTTTAAAGTGCGTGTACCATGCGGGAGGAATGTGTTTACTCGCTTTGCTTGTTCTCGCTAGAGGGGCTTGTCCGCTCTTCGCATAGCTGTGAAGTGTCCTGCATGCCTGTTTGGTTTCACTGACGACTCCGACCAAGCAGCCCAGTTCTCCCCCATCCGCTGTGTTTTGCTATCCCTGGGAGCTTGGGAGTCAGAATCTGAACCCCACCCCCTAAGTGGCAGCTCCGCGAAGCTGCGAGCCGAAGACCCCGAAACCCTGGAAACCTGAACCCTAGACCTGCAAATGCTTGAAAACACGGAATAGTCCAAATAGAAACCAGCGAAGCCAAGGCTTCCGCAGCGACAAGCGCTGGAGGCAGTCGATGGAGCAGCTCCGAGCGATGGAGTCAGTGAGCCATGGCCTGGTGTGTAGGAAAGGCTACTGGTAGCATGCATACAAAGGTACATAGGTACGTACGTACACACCTATACCGCCTATACATACGACGTATATCGACGTGCGTATGCCGCGGATTTGTTGTTCGTATATGTGCATAACTGCATAACCACTGCGCAACTCAACAAGACTCATGGTTTCAGCACGTGTCGTGGCAGAACAAGAGCATACAGGCTTCTGTGGCATGTTCCTGTCAAGGCAGATCAGGCGAGATGTGATCACCATCAACTCGGCCATCAGCTGCTGCCAGGGCGTGGCAGAATTTCAAGAGCTGCCTGCTGTCGCCGGAAACACTTCCCAATCTAAGGCCATGCAGGTAAAGGCAACGGTAGCGAAACACTCTCATAAACCTCGGCTTCGACCGCTTGTGCCCGCTAGACTCACTAGACTAGACTAATTAAGACTCACTAGACTAGACTAATTAACATCAGGCAGTGCCGCCCACAAGAGATTATGGCATGAGTCGATGTTGGAGAGTCTCGGTCCTAGCGACCTTGGAGGATGAGACAACCTGGCTACAAGCCCTGGAGCTCCTTTCTACCTTGGCTTTCATGACTCTTGGACAATTGGACAACTGGTGAGGTTTACAGATTTAGAGGTGTTAAGCTTGAACGTAGGTCTTCGTTTAAGCCTTAAGTTGTTGTGAAAGGTGAGGGTCTTGTTGCTTGGGAGGTATGGTCTTAGGACATCGTGACTTGTACGGTTGAGGCTTCGGTTTCCGCTGGTTCAGTGGGTTTGCGTTCTAAACTCTAAACACAATACGTCTACAATACATTGGATGATAAGCTCTTAACTTTACAAGGAGTGTATCGTTTCGGGGATATTGCGTGGTTACCAGGGGCCCAGGGGCATCGCGCCAGAACAGTGCAATACCAGGGTGGTATGGAACGCATCTTTACTGATGCACGCAGAACACAGGACATATCCCGGGTATCTTGGCCGGCATTTGGTGTGGTAGGTTTGTTTGTGTGGCGAAGCTCCGTCTCTCTCTCGACGAACTCCGAACTTGCGTGAACATGGTGCCTGTACAGCACCAGGATGTTCCAGAATTTGATACAGGGGAGCGAGCCATCTAAGGAACATGCGACCTTCGCTGATATCTTGCAGTGCCACGGTCTCAGACACGCAGTGTAGCTGGTGCATACTTGAAGCCATGTGCGGTAGCCTAATTAAGTGCGCAAACGTTCGCTGGTTCGTTTGGCTTCCTCATCTAGACGGGCCTGGGCCGTAGGCCCGCAGCCCAGACAATGCACGGAATTCCCACGAATCACCAGCAGCTGCAGCTAGAATGCAAACTAAGCCTATAGCCAACCCGTTGCGACGAGAGGCCTGCAGCAGCGCTTGTGCCAGTGCAGTTGCTTGGGAAGCAGTCTCTTGGCAAGATGCAGCAGATCTGAGATTGTCCAGATACTTGTGCTTTGGCTATCTCACTGACAGGGGTTTAGGTGCACGTTGGAGTCGGTGGCAAATTCGCTCACAAGCGACGGCACACGACCGACAGCCTCGATTGAAGCAATGAAACCGCAAAGCAGTCGTTGCTAATTGTTCACGATGTCCAGGGCGATCAGCATCCCACCCTGTCACACACTACTACTCGGCAAGACGTATTGCCCATTGCCTATGAGATGCTGCAGTGTAGTGATGAAAATCTGGATGTCCCTCAGCATAGGCTGTCCAACTTCTGGACGAGCGCTCGAATGATATCTGCTGCTTGGCCGAAGATGTTGCTTAAAATCAATGAAAGATGGTCAATCTAGCAAGCGCTCCGAGTGGTGTTCGTATCACTTGGGGTTATCTTTAAAGCAGGAGGTGGTGGTGGTGGTGGTGGAAGCCTTAGGATGCAGCTGTTCCCAATAGATCTGGTTTTGTCGCCTTAATTTGCATTGTAATAGAATAGGCTCGTCTCAACTTAGGCATCAATGCCGTCCTCTCTGCATGCGCCGCTCGGTTAGCATTCTTGTTGCTGGTGCCTTGCACAGGATGCTGCTTCTCGCACGCTGCGTCTCGCACGCCTGTGCTCGGTCTCTGTGTGTGTGTGTGTTGTCAGAACAGTTCTTCTCACGGTAGGACAACAGCTCTCAGACCCCATGCTGCCAAGATGGTTAGACACGGCCCACCTTGAGGCAGACTTGACAACTCCGTGGGCCTAGGGGGACAGCTTTTCTGTTTAGGCTTGGCCTCTACTCTTCCGAGGCTAGTGCCTTCCCTGTCTTTAGCAATCAAAGATGCGATGGTCTCAGATCTTCCTTGCACTGTGCTCGACGTGTACCGTCAGAGCTGTCCGGTGCTCGCAGCAGCGGTAAGAGTGAGCGAGTTCCGAGGGCATTGTAGAGTCTTCGAGGTCTTGTCTCTCTGAACTGAATCAGGTTTCTGGCAGGCCCTAACTCAATCGGAATTCTCGAGAGCTCAGTCGAATCTCTGGAACCGCACACCAGCCTTTCCAATCCCGAGATTTCCTGCACCAGGCGTGTCATCTCCTAATAAGCAACAGACAGATCGGCAAGGGTACCTTCGTTAAGGCGTTCTTTGAACGGACTACAGCTAGAGGGCCCTGTTCATTTTCCTTGGAAGGACAGTCCTGCACAAGTCTACGCCAGCTAGATCCAGGCTTCCTCGGTGCAATGGGAAGCTGCCCTTGAGATACTCAGCGATTTGCCCGCATTGGAGGCATTCTGGGGCATCGGGTTCACTGCTCGGCTAGGTCATTTCATACCTCGAGTGTTCACGGCCTGAGTATAAAATTAGAAGAACCCGTGGTTTGACCAGACGGCACAGTACGCAGTACCTGTTTTGGCTCTGGCTGCCAGCCTGCACATGGCAGTGTGATTGCCACCGAGAGTTCCAAAACACAGAAGTCATCACTGTGACGTTTGGTGTGGAATCAATCTCTGTTCACCTCGCCGAAACCCTGCCATCCCCTGACTTACCAAATCAGCGCCTGCCTGCAAGGCTCCAAGCTTAGCACCCAGACTTCAGCAGATTTCGGCTTTGAAGATCCAAACCTCTCGCACAACATCAATGCTGTGCCAAGTTAGCAAGAATGGCAGCAGCACGAAGACCGAACACCAAGATCTGGTCGATCCTTTGCTCCTTGCGATGCCTGGTGCATCAATGTCCAGAATGAATGCTCATGTCTTTGGCTCACACTGTTTCAGTTGTGTTCTTCCCGTTGTAAAGCTTTGTTCCCGGGATCTTGAACTCCGACCTGCTTAACCTCACCCTATAATCCGTAGACCCTCAGCCCCGAAGACCAGTGTGGTTAAACCATGTCAAACTGACCGCCGACATGGAGCCTGAGCCTTCTGTGCACACTTGAGGCAGTTGGCAGGGGCTGGCCAATACCATTAGCTTCAACATCGTTGCTGCTGGACTCACGAGCCCAATTTTTTTTGTGTCGCACATGTGATTCCGGGTTTCTTATGTCCTTGTCCTTCCGGACAGATCGCCTAAATCTGCAATACTGTACTAGGGGGCAAGCAAGCACCCCCCCCTCGCATTGCCCGAAGACACGCGCAAAGACGCAAAAAGAAGCAAGGACACCAATGAAAATCCCGCGTGAAACACAAACACGGCACAGAAAGGACAGCAAGACTCACAAGTCCACTCACAGCACACGCAAGAACACAAGTCAACAAGCCCTCCGTCTTGCCTCGTTTCTGCAGGCTTTTGCAGAGGTTGCGCTTGCTATTACCTGAGCCCAGAGCACCCTTCAGAACTCCAGGTCTCCAGCTGCTCGAAGTCATCCCAGTGGCAGCTGGCTTTGACGCTCGCTTTGGATTCAGGATTATCCCAAGAATCACAACAACCTAATGCATGACTGCATCGTCAAGACACTTCAAACTTGTTGTAATTGCCGTGTCCTAGCAGCGGAAGTCCGCCGGCGTTGGCCAAACTCATGGAGCAGCTAAGCGGGCCTCGAGGATCCTGAGTCTATTTCAGTTGTCTACGCCCCCGCGTAGACCACTTGAACTGTTTCATGCCCTGCCTTCGACGCTGGATTTCAGTGGTGGCGGGTCTGTCATGTATTTGTCTCGTTCTTTGCCTTGTAGGCCGTCGGGGCTGCAAGGGTGTTCTCGTGCCAAAGTTCGTTTCGGCCCAAGCCAAAGTCTGGGCGGCCGCATGGCGAAAGTTTCTCCTGTGGTTCCGCAACCATGCGATGAGCCAGATGAGCTGCTTGACGGCCTCATAAATTAAGCGGTTCAGGGCTCAGCTTCACATCTGAAGCTGCCAATTTCAGGTTTGCCGTTCGCAAACGGCGCCAAGGATTGACCAGTGTCTGGGTCATTTGATTCCGGGGCAGAGGGCTGAGTGCCCAGAAATGGGTATGGACCAGCGACGCCACTACTGGTACTGTTCTTGACATCTCGTGTCGGGAAATTTGTGCGCTTGCCCTCTCCCTTGCCTGATACCAAAGTAGCTACCAACTTAATTACGACCCTTATACGTAACTCTAATCCTAGTCCTAGACCCGCTTCCCGTTGGTAATTCTGAGGCTGCCGCTCCCACCGCAAGGATCGCTCCCACCCCAAGGATCGAGAGCCAGGCGACTGGAGACTGTGTCAGTGGAGGTTTTTGGTTTCATATCCCATTGGTTACTTGAGTTTCAAGCTTCAGGCTTGCGACTGACGTGGGTTTACAGAGTTCGGTCTGAATTATGGGGATGTCCAGGGTCGGGCGAGTCTTTGCCTGTTGAAAGGGTCAGCATCGCTGTCATTAACTGGTACATCTGTTTGACTCTTGTCTTTAATTCTTGTTTTCTGAATTTGGACATCTTGGTCGGAGTAACTTGTAGCCTTTGGGATGTTGGGAGCTGGGCCCTGTGAAGTGTGTTTTCGTCCGCTTGGCCCTGGCCCGGGGTCATGTTTGAAAGATGTCTGGGCAAATTCAATTCCCCAACACTGTGGCACCATTGGGCCCTGGTTGCAGAGCTCGTCCTGGGTGGGCACATGACATAAATGCTGGCAAAACTCAGGTCGCAACTAGTTGCGACTTGTGTTTTCTCGAGCACTAGTGGTTGTGACATTCTGGTCCTGATGGCATGCTTCTGGTATGTTGTTTTTCACTGATTGGGCAACCCCGCTGGCAAATTAATCTACTCTGCTTCGGCACTTCCCCATTCTAACCATTCCGGCCTGGCCGCTCCGTTACTCCTCTCAAGGGCATACTTCCCCTTCGATACATAGCAATCATCAAAAAGCATTGCATGCGCTGCTGTCCTCAGCTTACAACAAAACTCCAACAACACGTCAAGGCCGACAAGGCTCGCACGAACACTCGCACATTCAACTGGCTCTAAGCAAACCGTCTGGCCTTCAAGCTGTGAGAGGCTGTCGCACAATGGCACGACAGCGACGATGGGAGCCAGCTCCCTGCAGTCCATCAAAGTTGGTCCCGTGCACCAAGAGGTGAAGGAGGAAGTCGCTTGCATGTGACGGTGTTCTAGCTTCGATGGGGTTAAGGCCTCAAGAAAGTCTGAGATGCTGCTGTGCACATCGCCATTTCAGGACTTGTACCCTTCTGGTTTTGCGCATAGGAGTTGAGAGGTGGACTTGGCTTCAAGCTGTGCAGCAATCTTAGACTGGCGGTCTCCGGCATCTCCCAAACCGAATTATCTAAGCTCCGAGCAAAGCCTGCCAGAGGGTCCCGGAAAGCGAAACTGCCGAGGTTACCGACAGTTTCATGCTCAAGCAGCTTCTGACTCGGAAGACCTCCTGGGTTGTCATAACCTTGCTTGTGGTTGGCCTGTGCTACGCCATCCTGCGACCTTCTTTGTGCTCTGACGTGCAGAAGTGCCAAGACCAGCACGGAACGGCATCAGATTTGGTACCGTACAGTGCACTCATTACAGCAGCGTTATCGGCGGTTTTCCTGCACGAGCTTGCCTCCGTCATCCTGACCTACAGGACCGCCAAGAAAGCCCTTAGCCTGATTCCCAACATCAAGGAGTCCTTGGTTCCATCATTGCTGCTCTGCACAACCTTTGCCGTGCTCATCTTGGAAAACATGTGCTTTTTTGCAGGCAGCTCTGCCTGGTTCGCACATGCATCTGTCTCGGACAATCCCGACCTTGATGGCATGCCAGTGTACACCGTCTTTTTCACCGAGTGGTTAATCAACGTGCCCATCTTGATCATCCTGGCGGGTCAGATTTCCCTCGGACGTCCAGCATATGAGGTATCGCTGCCCCTGGTCGTCACAAACGTCTACATGACCTTGGCGTGGTGTGCCAATTTCATTGCCCTTGCCTATGTCCGCTACATTGTGGTAGCTGTGTCTTTTCTCATGTACTTCAAGGCTTCCTGGGACATGATCATGTGGGTGAAGCTCTGGAGGAAGGACAACCCCGACGGGCATCTCCTTGGACGCCCACTGCTTGCAGTGGCCCTCGTCGTAGTGTTTGGCGTCTATGGGCTCGTGTATCTGCTAAGGCTGCGTGGAATTCTTCCTTGGCATTTTGAGTGCACCTTCTACTTGACCATGAATTTCACAACGAAGCTTTGTGCCTCGATGACCTTGGCGGGGATTCGCTCTAGTGAGTTTCAGGAGGTGCTGCTTCTAATGCTTGCCAACACCCAGACATCTTTCAAGCGAGGCATCTACGAGGATGATGTTCACGATCTGCGAGATTAAGGTATCGCCGCATAGATCCTGCTGACAGTTTATCAAGTATGCATTGCATGCAGAGCTTGAGGCCTTTTGACCCTTGCAGCCGGAGCTCTTAATTTGACAAGGTCTATGCAGCAGATGGCCCCTGCTGCGCAGGTGCCTCATCTTGCAACGTCTCACCCACAACGCCGTGTGACCGATTCTTTCAGAACCGGCTCCGCAGTATCGCGAAGGCCTGGGCACGAGGACACGGCGGCCGTTTTGAATACTTTACGCAGGCGACACACGCGAGCTATCATTCTATGGTTATCTTTTCTCAGACATATGACCTTCATAGTTCATGACTCAACGTGAGCTTGCAGAGATCGGAAACAGCGGGCGGGAGGAAGGTTGCGACTTGAAGCATTGAACATGCGGGTCCAGAGATGTAGAGCCTCTGAAAGCTTTCGCTGCGACAGTGCTGCAGCTGCAACTCACCATGGCTACTTCCTTAACTATATACTTAATCTTGTCGCGACTGCTGCTTTCATCATTGTTCATCCGTGAACTCGGGCCTGATGCAGTTCAGGGTAGGAGGGACCCCTCACAGGCTCCGACCTTGTCCGGCCTGGTGTGTTTTGGACAGGTGCTGCGGAAGGAGTTGTTTCGTTGCTTGAGGTTCTCCATCAGTCCAGCAGGGGCGAGAGCTCCGACAAGTTTTGTGGTAGACCTGAGATCGTAAAGGCCTGGTCCCGAAGCTTATGATATCTAAATCCTTCCAGCACTAGACCCTCAGCTGAGAGTTCGGACCCCTACTGTACTGCCGTTTCCATATAAACTCCATTTATCCAACTGCCCATCATGTGACCTTGAGCCCCTGGAGCCCCGCGACTCAGGAGCACCTTCGACTCTCTTTCGAGCAGAGGATACTGTGGTTCCAAACTTGGTCTGGTCGAAACGTTCTGCAGGTTCGGTTTGTAGGTTTGTTGTCTGAGGGTGTGGGCGCAGACTGGGTGCGCAGTGTTCTGGCGGACGCCCGACTGGTGGCCGAAAGTGGCTGGCGGGTAGCATCTATCACCCTAAGGGTCCGTGTACCCAAATAGTAGAACATTGGCCCCAAAGTACCTATATAGGGACTACATTAAGGCCAATGTTCTACTATTTGGGTACATGGACCCTTAGGGTCACAGTTCTCCAAGAAATGGCAGCTCCAGAAGTCTTCTCTGAGCCTGCAGCTCGTAGCATATTTTATTCTTGCAGCAAAGCCTCTACACCCGGAACCCTAGGTTCACACACATCAAGCCCTCAATCAGAGCCTCAATCTCTGCACCTGGCTGCATGACATTTTGCGTACCTGCAGTCTGTGGAAGGAGTCCAGCCCACAACTGTAACCTATGCTGCTGTCATCTCCGTCTTGGAAAGGCGGGTCCCGAAGGTGAATGGCCTAAGTTCCCTGTGGAGGTACTCTAAGCCTTGGATTTAAAATCATGCCAGCGCAGCTACCCGCAATGCAGACTGGGTGCCCTGTTCCATGCAAAGAGAATGAGAGAAACCACTCTCAGACGTTGCCTCTAATGTCCGTGGATTTGAGATGTTCGATTGTGTTGTAATCCGGAACTGGAGAGGCTCCCGTCCAGTCGCTGCTCCTTCTAAGGATGGAGACCCGACTTGCAAGTTCGTCAACAAGCGATGCAGTGTCAATAAGAGCAGATTTGATCTCACGGCCGATCTACGCAGTGTTGCAGGATGTCCCTCTGGCAGCCTGCACTGGCGGTGTTGGAGGAGAGCGCTAATCAGCATAGTTGTGGAGCAGGCATTCAGAGTGGGTCTGCCCCCGTCTCAAGGCTCTCGTGAGACACAGATACAGCAGCCCAGAACTCCGTTTGGCTTCTTTCAGCCCCGGTAGTCCGGTAATCTGTCAATGCGAAGATCTGCAGAGCAGTACCGAGACTATGTGATGCCATGCAGGGCTGCTCCGGTCTGCTTTAGGTATCCTCTCAAGATGTTTACGGTCTCTGGTCGGTTAACTGAGATGATTAGAATCTAGAAGAACAAGAACCTTTCATGACCACAGTTCACGACGGCAGGATGTTGTCGTGTCGGGAGAGACTTGTAAGATATCATCCGGCCAGCCCTCTCGGAGGAGAGTCGCCATTGTGCCGACGTCGTTACATACGGATCCGCCATAGACGCCTGCTGCTTGCCTCAGGGATCTTGGGGCTTTGAATTTGGGTAAATTTGGGACTCGGGTTTTACGATGCCACGGCCCATACATCAGTCAAGAAAGCCGCTTGCCGTGTTCGGGTCGAGCTCGAGCTTCTGCTGTCCAGCCTCTGCACCCGACCGCTCCAACGCTCCCGCAAATGGCGATATACATGGTCTCTCTGTCTCTCTCTCTCTCTCTCTCTATATATATATATATATATATATATAGATATATACCGAGCAGAGATCCAACATCACGCGCTTGCCTGCGAGGTTATTTGGGTGCACGTGCACGTGTGTGTGTGTGTGCGCGTGTGTATCTGTCTGTCTGTCCGTCTGTCCGTCTTTCTGTCTCTCTCCGTGCGTCCCTGTGTCCGTGCCGCGTGTCCGTGTGTCTGTGCCGTGTGCTTGTGTGTCTGCGTATCTGTGGGACTGTGTGTTCACGGGTAGAACGTCTATGTGTTTGTCTGTCTCTGTTCTGTGCGCTTTCCCGGTCTCTGTGCATGTTTGTATGTGTGTGTCCGTACGTGCGTGCCTGTGCGTCGTTTCTCTCTCTCTGTGTGTGTGTGTGTCGTCGGGTGCCTGCGGCCTGGGTTGCTATCGTGGTGCAAGAGTCAGCGTACCGCTTAAGTACCATCCGAGTGAGTTCAGTGCAACATGCGACTCGTTCGGTGGATATGCAGTCAACCACAACCTGTCCAACAATCATGGACAGCCACCACTCGGCGTTTATTGTATTCTATGCCAACCGAGTATCGATTCAGAAGCGATTCCAGGTCTGGGTGCCTGGCGAGCCTCAGCCGCCCTCCTGGACACGATGGCTTGTCGCAGGGTTGGTGGCCCAGCATGGCCCACTGTTTCCGAACGGTCTTGCTTTCTGTTCCCGGCATGCTTTCAGAACCAGCGAACGGCTCTGATGCAAAATGAAGCTGGGGAGGTTTCTCGCGGCTTCGTTTTATGTGGAACTTGAGCCTTCCCCTTTCCCCTCTTCAGTTCCCATATCCCTTTCCCATGGCTCAGCCATTCGATTTCAATGGTGCTACTGCATTCGCTAGGTCCAGGTACTAGGATGGGTCTCAATTAATATCGGGGCAAGGGGCACTACAAATTCACATGCGTGTGTGTATATATATATATATGTATACATGCAAATGGACATACACACTTACACACATAGACACATATACCCGAACACACATACCTGCGTACACACGCACACACATCCACACAGTAATACATGCTCACGTGCACATACACACACATATACACATGCAGATACACATGCACATATACATACACACATTCATACATGCGTACATACGTGCATTAATTCATTCATTCATTCGTTCGTTCATACGCACATACACTCACACATGCGCACACTTTCCTACCTACCTACGTACCGACCGACCTACCTGCATACATAGTCACATATATATATATATATATATATATGTCTATATATATATATGCATCCATACATGCATGCATACATGCATCCATCCATGAATGCATGCATGCACGCATGCATGCATGCGTACATACATACATAAGCACATACATGCATGCAGACGTACATACATACATACATACATACATACATACATACATACATATATGATACATACATACATACCTACATACGTACATACATACATACATACGTGCATACATGCGTATGCACATACGTGCATACATACATACATGCGTAGATAAATACATAAATCCATACAAGCACAAAAGTACAAACGCATACATACGTGCATGCGTGGATGCATGCATGCATGCATACACATATACATGCATAACTATTTACCTAGTTACTTACATGCTCACATACCTACATGCAGCATTTACACACATATATGCATGCATGCATGCATGGCATAGTACATGCCATGCAAGCATACACGCATGCACAATTATGTACACACATGCTCACCTAGATAAGCAAGCACACATGCATGCCTGTATCATAGTTGCACATGCATGGAAGCATACTATACATGCACATATACATTTACACATACATACGTACATACATACATACATACATACATATACATACATACATACATACATACATACATACATACATACACATACATTTGTACACACACACATGCAGGGCATGCATGAATGCACAAATGCATACACACATGCGTGCATATATGCACACATGCATGTACACATGCATACACACACATACACACGGGCCTGCACTGGCAGACAGATACGTAGACCCTTCTGCAAGGGTATGAATCTTGCTGCTGCTGCTAAGACCACAACCACCGCAACCACCACGGCTACTACTTACTACTGTCCTAGTGATTCTAATGACAGTACTGCTACTACCATCACCACCGCGATTATTTTTATTATTAGTACTACTCTAAATTTCCACTAAAACTGCTAAAAGACCCGCATACAGCCTTACTTCTCGCTAGCCTGTGACTCTTGCAAGTTTTGTATATGGATCGAACCGACAACCAAAAAAAACAGACAAAACAAACATGCCGAAAAAATGAACCCCAACGACAACAACAACTACTACTATTGCTACTACTACCACTACTACCACTACTACCACTTCTACCACTACTACTACTACTACTACTACTACTACTACTACTACCACCAGCACCATTACTATTACTACTACTTCTACTACGATTAATACTTCCACCACCACCTCTATTGTCACTACTTCGGCTACGACTGCTACCCGCACCGGCGACGACGAGACGACGAAAGCTACTACCCGTACCCGCATGCTGCAGCTAGAGTTGTTGCTACTACTGCGACTGCTAATGCTACTGCTGCTGCGGCCTCTCCTGCTTCTCCGACCTACCGACCCAACGAACGACCTCACCACGCCTCGCCCCCCTGCCTCGCTTCCCTTGCCTGCCTACATATCTCCCTTCCTACCTACCCGCCTACCTCCTTACCTCCCTGCGTATCTACTTTCCGGTCTACGACGACTGCTGCACTTGCTGTTCTGGCTTCCCCAAGCGTATGTGTTTGAACCCCATAGGCCAAGAACGAATCAAGTATAACCATATAGCCAGATCTACCAGAGGCATGCTTCGGTGGAATGTTTCAAGCCTCCCCTTCAAATTTGTGGCAGGGTACTGTTTCTTTGATGGGGTGCATGCATCAACGAATGGTATATTCATCTCGCATGGGAAGAGCGAGCTATCCAAGATGCAGGGAGCTTCAATGTCAACCGATTCACAGGATTGTTCTGACAGGCCGGAACAGCGAAAGCTCCAACGGAATGAATGAAACCGAGGTGATCCCTGATTTCGGTTGCTGCCGCGGAGTGTCTCGGTTCAGACGTGCATGTTACCATCACATGCTTCAATGTAGAACTAGAACTTCTCCGCCCGCCCTGGATATACTAAGACCGAACCCCCGCAGCCCAAGTTCAATCGTCTGTTGAGCTCGATTGCCGTGACACCTCACGCTTCACAGAAGCTGTCTTTACTGCTGAAAAGCTTCGAGCTTTAGGTTTCTAAAGACTTGTCTGCATAAAACCGCTTGGATCAGGTTCTACTCTCCGTGGAGAATGCGGGGCATTGGCGCAAAGTCGTGGAAATAGGACATGCGTCTGGGCACAGAACTCATGGGGGGAGCGCTCTAGTGCTTCGCAAGACGACTAACCCAGCTGCGGGCGAGAAACTTGCCATAGATACGAATCATACGAATACAAAGCACACGTGCACCTACTATCGAGAAGCAAGCGTGTCAGTAAGTAACAGTGTGTGTGTGTGTGTGTGTGAGTGTGTGGTGTGTGTGTGTGTGTGCCTGGTGTGTGTGTGTGTGTGTGTGTATGCGTCGGTGTGCCGGCGTTGCAATGTAAACCCTAACCGATTGTACGGGAGCTGCATGACAGCAAGGTCTTGGCTCGCCGGAGGAATACGCTCAGGAATCGATGTGTTGTTGAGGCCGAATGTGCTAATTAAGCCTCAAGCCACGACTCTAATTACTATGGATGCAAGATCCCCCCGCATACACCCAGGCCCTATGCCATCAGAGCCTCTACAGCCAAGAGACGGCCAACAGTCACTCCATTGCTGCAGCACAGCGTCGGAGCGGCTTGGCTCAGTCGGCAGGAAGTGGCAAGTTTCCAGTTCTTTCGTTCAAAGCTTCAGCAGCTATTCCCCCAGATCCCTCCCCCAAGCAAAGAGATCGATGCGGCGTATCGACTCGCATGGCCTGTATGCACAGAATCATGCGCGTGCGCATGCAAGTTCCAGCAAAAACTCGAAAGTGTATCCGCCTGCATGAGCCGTCTAATATGTTTTAGGTTTGTGGGTTTACCACGATTGCAAACATGTTCATATACATGATGCATATCGCGATTTAAGAGACGAGCATGTGATAGATGTAAATATATGCATATACGGCATATGCGTATACACATGCCTTATGAAGACTCGCACATGCGTACATATATATATATAT